CAGCCGTGATGTCAAAGTACATGCTGGGATTGACCATGGTTGGGGTGAGCGGAGCGAGCAACTGTACTGCTGAGGCAATGGCGCCTGCAAAGCCAGGACCTTTCTAAATTATTGAGTTGTCGTGATGTCAGTTTGAAGACTAATATGTGTCAGATTCAAGCCATAGTCTTTCCAACTACTTGCTATGCATCTGAGAGGTGGACAATGAATAAGGTTGATAGAAAAAGAATTGACACTTTTGAGCTGTGGTGCTGAGGAAGAGCACTGAACATCTCATGGATGGCCAAGAGAATATGGCCAACAGATATGTCTTGGAAAGGGTGCATCCCGATTCCTCTTTGGAGGCAAGACTGATGAGTCCTTACCTCACACACTTTGGACGTATTGGTAGGAGGGGTATTCCCTGGAGAGGGACATGATGCTGGGAAAGGTAGAGGGTCATCAGTGACTTCTGCAATGGGCTCTTATATGTCAGTAAGTATGAGGATGATGCAGATGTTTGTTCACAGGTCGTTATGAATCATACTTGACTTAACGGAACCTAACAACAACATCAATAGTACTAATAATAACAGACACTCCCTTCTTTACTTTTGTCAAAATGATAATTTAGAAAATACCTTCTGAATTAATCTCCAGATAAATATAACTGTGGAAGCTAAAGAAAATTTAAAGAGAGAGAGTATTCTTGCATTGTTTATTACTCTTGCTGCCTTCTTTTTTTCTTAAACCTTCCCTGATTTCTTTTAAACTGGTTAGATATATATCAGGACTAGAAAATGTTAAGATATGTGGTGATTCAAAGATTTTGAAGTATTCAAAGAAAGAAAAGAGTACTTCAAACAGTTAAGACTGATGTATTGACAATGGAAAGGGGAATAAGGAAATAAAAAGAAGGAAAACAGGTAGAATGGATAAGTATCAGAGAATAAGAGTAAGAGAGGGAAACATTCCCCCAGTTTCTTATTAAGAATAATCCTTTTACTTTAATCTTACCGTCTATTAACTAGGCCTAGTGATCTTCCTCCTCAAATTTGAATTTCCTTTAACAGCTTTTTTGTGAAATACCATTTGTTGCAGATAAAAATGAAGAACTACAAAGTTTCTATTTATTTATTATTTTTGTAACTCTAATACATAGCTGTCACAGCACTCTTTGAAATAGTTCAGTGGGTTGTTGTTCATGTTAAAAGTGACAATTGTTCATAAACATTCACCATAACATCAGCTCTCAAGTAACTTTTCTAAACAGGTCTTTTTACCTGTTGAAGCCTCACAAATCTCCTTGTGAATTATGCTAATATTGCTCAGTGTAGAATACAACATTCTGTCCCCTTTAAATTGTCCACCAGATACTGTAAAGAGCAAAAAGTTTACTTCCGCCTTTGATATTATCTTCAATTATGAAAAACCATTTGAAACCATTTCTTTTTTAAATCACTTAAACATAGCCTAAAGCATGTTCGTAGTGGTCAGTCAAAAATGACAAAAAAATATGTGAGTTACTTCAAAATCATCACTGAATAAATTGAGGTGAATTTTAAAAATAAGTAATCTCAAGTGGATTGCTGAGGTTTGCAGCAACAAGGTTATTTCCCTTTATCTTTTCTTTCTTTTGTTATTTGCATTCAACACTATGGCATCATGAAGAAAAAAGAAATACCACTTATTTGCACTCCCAGTTATTTGCAGTTCTCAGTCTGTATTTAAAAGTAGACTGAAAAACATATTTTTGCTGCTGCTTTCAATTTTCCTTAATCACTAGTATTTGTTTTGCTTTAGTGCTTTGCTCTTTGACTTTTTGTGTGAGAAGTGCTTTATATTTTCAATTTGCTAGTGAGCTATGAGATGAAAGGAATTTTAATGGTGAGTTGGAAGACTGTGTATTTTTGTTTCTTTTATTTTTTTTTCACAGTTGATACATATACAATTTCACCCTTAATTATCTGTGGCTTGTCCCATTCATCAATCAAAAAGATATATATCTCTAAACATGCCTCTGTTGGGTAGTTCTTTTAGAAAATTACACAATCAATAGATTGGATGGTATTTGTTAAAATACATTCATTACTTTATGTGAAATCTCCTATACATAGATATTCAGCATTATAATTCTTTGGTCTCTAATACCTTTTAAAATATCTAAGTCTTGGAATAATTATATTTTTGACCCTCTTTACAGCAGTTCAGCTTTAGATCACCATGCAGTATGCTGAAGTGTTCTTCTGGATTTTCTTAACAATGTTTAAAATTTAAAAAAATTAAAAACATTACTAGAGATTGAATTGTAAAATCCCCGAAGACTGAAAGAACTGTAATATGGCATTGCTTTCAGCTCTAGTTTCTCTCAGATTCTGTAGTTGCAGCTCAGTGTACAGCTGGCAGCGTATGAAAGAATGGTTTAAGATGAGCATTTGAACTCCAGTATGTCATCGTGGTGGACTATAGTAAATTGGTTTTACACGGCATGGCCATGCTTCACATTGTTACTTACCTATGCCAATTATTGACTAGTTTTATTGTTTGTTTTATTGATTTCTGGTAAGAGATTTTATACAATTCATTAATTCACTATTTATTATTCATGTTTTGTGGCACTCTGGTACTGTTGTTGTTAGGTGCCATCAGGTCAAATACAACTAATTAGTAACCTCATAAACAATATATCTGAACCCTTTTCTAACTTGTGCCATGCTAACACTTCCTGACATACAAGAGCTCATTGCAGCTGTCACCATCAACCAGTATCATATCTTTCCCCAGATCATATCTTTCTCCATGGAATAGTCCCTGCTAGCAACATGTACAAAATACATGAAGCAAAGTCTCATCATACTTGCCTCCAAAGAGCACTCTGGCTGCATCCTCTCCAAGACATATCATTCATTCTCTTGGCTGTCCATAGGATGTTCAGTGCTCTTCTCCAACAACACAACTCAAAAGCATCAATTCTTTTTCTGTCATCCTTACTCATGGTCCAACTTTCGGATGCATAACAAGTAATCAGAAAGACTGAATCAGGTGCACCTTAGTCTTCAAATTGACATCACTACTCCTCAATAATTTGGAGAGGCCCCTAATTGCAGACTTTCCCAAGTGAAATGTGCCTCCTTATTTCCTGACTGCTGGTACCAAGGGTGTTAATCGTGGATGTAGGCAAGATCAAGCTGTTGATGTTTTCAAGCTTTTCTCCATCCATCATGGCATTACCCAAAAGTCCAGTGGCAAGAATCTTTGCTTTTCTGACATTGAGATGCAGTCCATACTGAAAGATGCATTCCTTGATCTTGTGCAACAGGTACTTCAAGTCCTCCTCACTTTGAGCAAGCAAGTTTGTGTGACCTGCATAACATAGGTTTTTGATGAGTCTCCCTCCAATCGTGATACCACACTTCTCTTCATAGATTTTTGATGAAGCTCTCTGATTAATACAGACTACAAAGCAAGATGGGCCATCTACTTCCTAAATAACATGCTTTTGAAAACCTTATGGACTCTCTGGTCTTATAGATATGAATAAATGAATAGAGTATCCTCATCAAGGAGTTTTATAAAGTAAAAGACAAAACTGTTAAAAGTAAAATAATGAAAGGCTGAAATTATTTTCGAGGTTAAGAGATGTGAATGAGTAAATATTCAATAATGCAGTCCTTGTTCTGGATTCAGTCCTTACAAAAACCCTACCCAGAGGATATGATCTCCTTTATAAAGATCTGAATTCCAAAGGATCACAGATAATGTGATTACCAGAGTTGTGACTAAAATTTATACTTCTGGCTGCCATTCTATAAAGGAAGATTTATATTAATGAGATATAAAATGTAGATAAGAGGGATGAATGAAAGATGATTTCAGATATTAAATTCTGAATTAATGGTGAAATGGTGGTGCAAAAAAAATCAATGCTAGAAAGAAATATAAAAAAGTTAAACTTTAAAAAAACAGCTTAAAAAACAAAATACTGAACATCTCATGGAATGCAAAGAGAATAAGCAAATCTCTCTCAGAAGAAGTGAAAACATAGAGGCAAGGATAGTAAAACTTCATCTCACATACTTCGGGCATGTTGTGAAGATAGGATAGTCCTTGGATAGAGACATCATACTGATGAAAGTGGGGGGGGTGTCAGAGAAAAAGAAAATGACAAGATTCATTGACATAATGCCTGTAACAATGGTCTCAAGCAAATCTGACATGGTGAGGATGGCACAGGTAAGACTCAGATTTGTGTTTAGAGGATCACTATGATTTAGGTAATGGTTATTTTAATCTGTGCATCTAAGACCTGGACAGTAAATGAAAATGACAGAGGAAGAGTTGATGCCTTTGAGTTCTGGTGTTGAAGAATATTACTGAATATCCCATGGACTTCCAAAAGAACAGATTGATCTTGGAAAAAGTACAGCCAGAGTGCTTCTTAGAGGCAAAGATGGAGAAACTTAATCTGACCTTTTTTCCAGCATATTCTTAGAAGTGGCTATTCCTTGTAAAAGGACATCATTCATGGAAAGGTGGAGGGTCATAGAAAGAGAAGGAGACCTTCAATGAACTGGATTGATACAGTGACTACAGCAATGAGCCCAAGAATATCCAAGATGATGAGAATGGTGCAGGATAGGACAGGACTCAGATCTGTTGTTCATAGGATCACTACAAGTCATATCCATCTCCAGAGCACACAACAACAACATTTCTTCGGTTTAGCAACTTAATTGAGTAAATACCACATGTAAAGCTTAACATATATACTATCAGCTCCTTTAGCAAAGTTTATGAATCTGCAATTTGGAGAAAATACCAGTCACTCTTTCTACATATTTTCTAACTAGAAACCAAATAATAAGAATATAACTGATGTCTTCACCTTATTAGCACATTTAATAAATGTTATCTGCAAACTCTTGTTTCTTTTCATAGCTTTAATCTGTATTAAGATTACCAATTTCTATCTAATGTACACTCAGTGGTATTTTTTTGTTGTTGTTCTCTATACCACCCAGGTTTTATTGGCTTATGAATCTAAATGCAGCCGTTGTCTTTCTGGGAATATCTTATATCCAACACACAGGAGCCTGGGTCTTTGTTTTCCTGATTCCTTTAATGTCTACACTTATGGCTCTGTCAACTCTCCATATGATGTGTTCTAAAATGATTCACCATCCAGAAAAATGTAAGCAAATTATACTTTATATTAATATCTCTATTTTTATAGACTTCTTGTCAAGTCTCCTTCCTCCTGATTCTTTATTACTTAACACAGAATTTTAAAATTCTGGCAGTTACTATACTTGATAGCAACTGTCTACATATATACCATAGTCTCTATATGCTTTTAATTTTTTTCCTATTGAATAGTTTAACATGGAATTTAGAAAACATATATAAAAGGAGAAAATATACTTATAGAATCTATTGATTTAGTGCTCAGCTTCAGCAATTATCAGCTCATTTTTGTTCATTTTCTCTCTAATCTACTCCAGACAATTTCTACCAAGTCAAAGGTGAGTGATTTTAATATGCGGCCCTCAGGCCTGATTTTATTTGTTTTTGGT